TAGGGAAATTTGCATCTATGCTGCAGGACATGAAAGCATACCAAGGAGCTAGGAAAATCGTATGTAGTGAGATGTTGGCTGGTTCTATACTTTATTTTATAAAACGAGGTCCAAAATTTCAATGGAGAAAAATATCGATTTTTCAAAAATTAATGGAGCATACGTGGCACTGCACCGGAATACCAAGATATCGAATAGCAGAAGAGTGGATTTGTAACGTAGCTATATCAATTACCTCCTGTGTTTATCGTGTTATTAGAATAAATGAGAAAAGGCTTGAAATATGTCAAACAAAGAGAAACAAGGAAAGGCAATAGATATACTTTTCTTCCGGAGTGTCTATGTTATTCGAATATGTCAGAATACATATCCAATTGAAACGAGTTGCTGAAGCTTTTCACCTTGTAATAGAACGATACTGAAACAGACTGAGAAGAGCCGAGAGAATCAATATGATAGATTTTTAGTAGCTGATATTACTATTAAGCTGAATATTGGTTTTTCAAAGATGGCTATGGTTAGTTAGGTTTAATTGCACGTTGTGACAGTATCGATCGTTAATTAACAGGCACAATACGCGTCTGTAACAATAAAAAGACTTTCTCGTGGACGACAATGGATGCACCGACCAATTTTGTCCGCGATCAAAACGTCCAATTAGGTGGTTCGCAAATCGCAATTTACGCCAGACAGCTACGTTGACCTGCTAATAAAATTTACAATTTTTTCCCCTGTTACGTCTGGTTCTACTACGTTTATTTGGCGTGAAAGTTCTAGTAACAAGATTGACGACTTCTTTCTTTTCATTCTTTCCGTCATGATTTACAGTGCTATGAAAAGCATAGCTGTCCCTATTCTCCGATTTAAACTGTATTTACTAAACACTACATCGTAATTTCATTAGTATAGATTTCGAATGATCTTTGTCTAATGTTCAAACTCTTTTGCATAATGTTTCTTTGATATTCGTGCACGATTACTGTGCTTAATTTACCGGTTGAGTTTGAGAATTTTCACTCGGCTTTTAATCAAACAGTTTCCAGAGTTCGGAAAAAAGTGGCAGAAAAGTTTTAGACAGTAAGATCGATCGTACGTTCGGAAGCAATATTTGCTAATTATGATCGAAGCTTGGCTGTCAAAGATAAGAGAAATTGTTTCTCATCCAATAAAATCCTGACAAATTTATGCTTTGCAACCTTAGCGTTAAGGAAATGCAAAGATCTTAAGAGGTTTTGCTAACGTGGTAAATAAGTACATCGTTTATCTACCCTTCGCAATTTACATTTCTGTAAATAGTATTCCTTAATATACCGTAACAGTTTGCTCGTTTATAACGATTTATACTAACTCGTTAATGAATTCTGTCCGCAAAACTGCATGGAATTCTTGCGACAAATATTTAGCGTGCAAACAATGTCTTCCTGGATAATTTTCACTGACACGTTTGCTATTTCTTGTTATCAGTTTTGCAGCCCGTTCACGCCGAAAGTGCCCAGCTATTATGGAACAATAAATATTTAACAGTTCGTGCTCAAAATTCCTGAATTAATCGTAGTATATAACTTTACTTATGTATTTGGAGCTAATGTAACTCATTATTCATTGATCGTATAAACATTTCACATTTGCATCGTATTTCGTATAATTGCAGCCAATTTTACTAATCAACTAAGTAAACCGAACAATTATCGTTTAAGTTATCGACAGTCTATACGAAAAGTGGCTTTCCCGTACATTAGTGTGGTTGACATACAATTTTTATCACCATCTCTATTACCTCTTTAAAAGTCCACGGGCGTACGCTTTTACACCGTTTATGATTCTTCTTACAAACCTTACAATACTCGTATATTCCTCGATTGTAACCCCACTCGTTCCAAATTTCTTCTCGAAGGTCGAATAGTTAAAAAAAAAAATGAATCGACGCAGCAATTACTAAGAAAAGTTACGTTATCGCTAAGAAATTAAATTTTTTGCAGCATTTATAAGCTGCTGCTAATTTGGAAATTCAAAGAAAAAGTAACAACGATACTTTGTTACTTCGTTATTGAAACGAGTAACTCGTTTAGATTTTAAGTCGTTAGTAAATAAATGACACGCTGAAATAAGATGGTACCTACCTGTAGAGAATCGTGTATAAAAATAGAACTTTTCACTCCAAAGTACTTGACTTGTCCTTATATGCAGAAGAATACATCAGAGATATTGTATGTCTGGCAATGAACCTGTCACAGAAAGTGAAAGGCGAGGTACATGATCTAGCAGATCCAGTTTTGTATCCGAAGTGGAAGACGCATAAAATCGAGACGAGTAGAAAAGATGCGAGAGACAGTTTTTCTCTCGCTTTGTAACTATATAAGAAAGTTTATGGGAGTGATCGACTGCAGACTATCTTTGCCAGTGATTTTACAATTTCTTTCTCACTGTCCGAAGCGTTTAGAAAAGAAAATCAAATGAAGAAGCTGGTGAGTCGTCTGTTCTTCTTAACGTTTAGTCGCAGTTTATTAAGAATTTCGTCAGTGATAGTAACGAAGATAAATCGATACCGGGGCTCGTCTGTCTAAGAATTCATTTATTCTCAGATCGTAATCGCGTTGATGGCGGTGGTTGTCACCGCATACAAGAATGGAAGAAGAAACAGTGTAATATCGACTGTAGATTTCCCACCTTATCAACGAGTTCATGGGCATTTACCTTTTCACGAGCGGCACCATCCGTTTCGGGAGCAATCGTTTAAAACGCAGCCGTACAAACCTTACCATTATCGACCTCATCGGCAGGACACATTTGCTCACCCGGAGCAGTTGTCTGTCAGGGATCAAATGTTGTTGCGAGAGTATGCAGCTCGGAAAAATCTGTCATTTTTTGGCAACAGGGATGCCCCGGATTTCCACGGGCAGTCTCCGATCTCTGCGTACAGGAATCAGCGAAACGAGGATCCAGCAGTTTACCGAAACGGCTACCCGTTTCGGCATCAAATGTTAGACGATCGACATTCGTCCTATCGACAATCCTTCCGTGACGATGTTCGATTTACGGATTTGTACGATAAACCGATTAACTTTTACAAGGGACAATTGGGACAGCAACAGGTCGGTTCATTGGGTAGAGATGCAGAGTATTTGAAGCACGGTAAGCACCTTGATCAAGAGAAGGTAATCAAGAGTAGACATCGTTCATCGAGAGTCTCCTTTGTGTGCCTTGAAATAAATTGTAACATGCGAAGTTTGGAAAGCTTTGGAACGAGTCGAGGGAGAAGCTAGTATAGCTCTAAGAAAGCATTTCTTCGGTATCCAGGAAACCATGGTCTCGGTTATGCGCCTGTGCTACCCATTTCACCGTACGAGAACGCTCTGCCGTTCAACGAGGAAGCATTCACGACGATGACACCGTCGATGGTTCCGACAACTACCCACAAACCATCGCAACAGTCTACTGCCTCCTCCGTCGCTCCGGCTATCTCCCAAGTTCATACGTCTGCAACTTCCGAGCCGAAAATGGCTTCGTCGAAGGTCTCGTATACGGCGACAATGCCAACCGTGAAATCCGATACGGTGAGCGAAATATAGGTGCTTTTCGTACATCACAAGGTCGTATTCAATTCTACCGACGCTCCGTTACCATTTTCTAACATTCGTTGTTTCTTTGGTACAATGATAAATGGACTTTAAGCGTGGCGTGAAATTTCTTCGATCTGATTCTTGAACAAGTTTTAATCAACCTGTACCGTAACCTTTTTACAACTTTCGAACCGAGTTCGTACAAGCCAAGCAACGACCGCGAATCTTAAAAGGTTCAATAAAAGTTAGTAATTGCTTTCAGCTGCCTGACGCCGCTACCACTAGCGTATCCATGCCAGCAATTTCTACGATACCAACCACTCCGGTCACTACGAAGCAGTCTTCGAACTTGGCTCATTCGCCTACTACCGAAGCTAGCTTGCCTGTCATGACCACGGAATCTCCGATCATATCCTTCGGACGACAGTACGTAATGGCACTGTCAGAACTCGTTACTTGCTTGATCGATTGTGACCTGTCCTTCTTCACCTTCGTATACCATTTTCAAGATGCACCGCTGATACTAACGTTATTAGAACATTGTGTTCCACGGAACAGCGTATCAACGTACACTCTACACGATTAAATTAGTATTCGCTGTTCTGAATTGCGCGTGCTTCGTTTCTGTTTCTCTTATAGCATAGGATCACCAATTGAATTTCAAACGGCTAGATTCATCTCACCGACGTCTTATTATCTCTCAAGCGGTTTAAAGAACAAGCTCCAGCAGCCGTTGTTCGGTTATATGCTGTCGCAGAAGGCGAAAGACGCTATCAAAAACAACGAACAGATATTACTGCAACCACTGCCAGATGCGTTAAACAACAGTTTGAACAACAAGATCTACGGCACGGTAATGAATTACGTACTTCCAGAAGAATCAAAGGCTGCGTTGAAGAACAATTTGCAGAGTTCTCTGTGGAACTATCTGCTGCAGCAAGAATCGAATCATGGTTTACATTACCTACCATCTTCTCTATCGGAAACTGCGAATCATCTTCCATTAGCCTCGGTAGTCGAGAGACCGAAAATGGCACTGCCAAGTGTACCGATTGCAACTTTGTCAGCGGTTTCCCGGCCAATGCAGACCATAAACTACCTACCAATAACGCTACCAAGAATGTCTGCTTTCATGGCTCAGGACGCGTCCATGTCCCCTGGTCTTCCGTTAGGTATGGCTCCTTCATACGAATCGATAAAGTTCAGATCAAATCGTTCGTCGATGGTCGAGAGAAATTCCGCCCCAGGGCCTTGGTCGTTAAGAGAAATTTAATCTCTTACCTCTTTTATTGCCAAGTCCTAGTGCGAAAGAGCCGAGACGTGGTCAACTTTATCGGGAATCCCACTTTCTGCTCGATGCTCTTTCCTCGAGCCAGTTATAATTCTTAAAATTCCATCATTTCAATTTCGATGGATTTCTTTTTATCACTGAGAAAACCATCCGCACGCAGGATCTATTCCTATCTCTTCGCTTCCTCCTTACCGTGCCGCTATCGGTTTGACAAATTTAAGATTAACAAGCCGTATTCGCAAAGTTAATACTCACCGTTAAAACCGCAAGGAGGTGTTAAATTCGAAGCGGTTCCTTTTACGAGCGCGATACAAAACGTATTATGCTGGAAACACGTGCCGCGTATCCGTTCTCTCAGAAAATCCTCGTCGATCGAATAACTGGTTGCTCCTCCAAGGTTTTCGTGTTCTTACTTCAGGCACAACTTTATCTTCCGGGTTGGCCTCGAGCGTAGCGGGTAGCCAGGTCGCGAACGTGTTCAACAGTTTACCTGCTGGTGCATATCAAGTTTGAACTTTGACCAGAATTTCCAACATGTAGGACAGATGCGACAATTTGAACCGACGAGGAGTCAATCGTATTTCACAGGTATATCGATCATACGCAATTACGCGGCTGCCACATCACGGATCCCGCGATATTTCCGCTTTTCTTCCGACCGACTAACCCACGAAACGCGTGCCGTTATGTGCAGGACTGCAGTTCCAGCTGGGTGACTATGGAGGGTTAGAGTACATGCGTCCGACAAATCCTGTACCACGATCTACAAACCTTGGGATCGCAAAATTGGGCTTAAATATGCCGGAATTATCGCGACACCATTTTCCTACGTTTTCTAAGGTAAATATTCCACGAATAATTACGCGGTGTTCGCAAGTAGGTGAATGTCCGCAAGGGAGATGGTTTCCAGTACCATCGCTAACACCTCACCGTTTAGCTATGGTATTCCTGTTTATATGTTTATGGTATTCCTTTGCCCGTATGGAACTTCTATCTTGTTTGCGGTGTTAGATTTTTCTTTCTGCGCGGATTTACTTGCACCTGTTACTTTATACAGTATGAAGCTCGAGAAGGTGGTAAACCTCTTCTGACGGAACGGGTACATTCTAACTTGCATGTTGCACGTATCGGGAAAGTTGCTGCGTGCGAGTTCGGCGGCTCGTTTTGCAAGAAAATTTTCCCATCAGCATGCAAAAACGTATTTTGTTTCAAATACTGTACTTGTAACACGACTTAGGTATTCACGATGAAACTTGGTTGTTATCCGCTGAATATACTTGGTAGAAATTTTAAGTCACTGTAAGTCGACGTTAAGTCAATCCAGCGTACTGCATTTTAATAGAGCGATTTCTTTTTTCTAATCTTCTTAAAATTCCAAACTAATTTATCCCGTGCCACCGTGAATGCGCTAATGGTTCAGCACCTCTGTATTTAATCGCAAATTTGAGAAAAGAATATGTTCTTATTACAGGCTGGATACGAACAACACCTGTGGTAAACATAGAAGATAATTGTAACTGGAAATGCATGCTTACCTATAGCGTTTTAAAGTATTTTAGCAAACTGCCAAAGTTCAAGAAACTCTAGATTATACGGAAATATGTTTGATAGTAGTATGTCGTAAATATTATCCGTCTATAGTTTAATTTACTGGTATGATAGAAATAAATATTTGTTACGAGAAATCGCAAGACTAAATCAGGAGTAGCGTGTAACTTCTTCTTGATCCATTTTTGTCTTTGGTTTACCGATTCCTTGCCTTTTATTCATTGCCTATTTCATCCTTGTTATCGTCATCCAATATTGAATCTGACATAATACTATTAGCACATGACGCGTTGTCCGTGTCATTATTGACATCATTTGACATATCGTATTTTCTCAGGTAGGTCGTTCCAAATATTACCGTCCTATATTTTTTCTCGAGGACAAGGCGCTTCCTATTTCAAGGATATTCGTAAAAGTCGACACGAAACGATTTCGTTGCAGATTGAATTTGGCCGACGTTCATACCCACTCGTCTCGAACAAATACCGCGAGAATATATCCGGCTTTTCGGCTCCTATTCTTCTCTAAGAACGTGCAGGCCAGCCAGTTTCCTACACCGGAAAGATAACAGAATCAATTTAACCTCTTGGCACTTACCTCTTGCATTCTTTCTTCCCTCCCAGAGCACGAACTTTCGGAACGAAGCGAAATGAATAGTCGGTGTTAATTTATACTATATTTTTATTAATTTTGACAAGTGTCCGTATGTTCGATTTGTCGTATCTCTGATTAATCGTGTATGTGTCCCGTGTGTTTCTTTCGCGTGTGAATATGTATAGGTATTGCCATCGGTACATACAGCGTTTTAGATATTCATTTGTTTTCCATTTGATTCGTCTCGCTTATAACTAGTCTCGGCAAATTAAAGATTTGTCTCTTACATCTATGCCCTGTATAGACCATTCGTAGTGATTAAGAAATTCATAGGAAAAACGTAATTCTCTCGCACCAAAGCGGCACACTCTCTTCGATGGACACTACTTAGACATTCCACTTTGTTTGCTTGTATTTGTTTCGCGCGTGTTTCCCGGGTCTGGCCGCTCGAGGAGGTAGAAACCGGCCCCTTACGCGTCCTCGAGAATTTCCGTGATTCACGCTCGATTAGAATCCCCGGAAACTTCGTCGTGTCTCTCACAGTCATTCGTATACGCTCGCGTTCTTCGTCGATTAGATATATATTTACACAGATGTACAGCGCTACCCTCAGATTCTCTCGATACAATACAGATACATTGTGTCGCGTACGTGTATCGTGTACATACATATTTATATACAGAGAAGGGAATGTATCGGGTTAGAAAAATACAGCGATCTTAGCAGGACTGTAAGAAACTTTATAATGCATTTTCAAGTGCGTTACCTTAAAACAAACTGCTAGGCTTGTTGATTTTTGCTTTGGCTGAGTTTTTCTTTTCCCTGTTTTTACGGTTGATCGCAGAGTGCCTAAAGAAAAAGCTTTGGTCGTCGCTCGTTTCGAGAATTCCCACGCGAGCGAAAAAATACTGCGAATGGTTTTCAGGTATCCGGAGATCGCTGAGTCAAAGTTCTCGCTGTTAGCCTGTCATTAACGACCGAGATCCAGGGACGGGAACTTTGCGAATTAATAATTCACCGACTGTTCTGGAACCTAGGAAGTTCCTTTATCTCGCGGTGGCATAAAATGGCACGTGGCACGATCTGTCACGAATCGGGACGCGTTTAAAATGTCGCCGGCTGAATTAACGGGGCGAAAAGTTCCACGCGGGGTTATAAAAGGGCATAAAGTTCCCGGTCGGTCAGCGAGAATTTGCTATAACGAAACGAATTTACGTAGCTGCCGCTTTAAGGGACTTAAGTTTGAAAGTTACGCGAATGAAGAGATTCGTGCAAATCGAAAGCGGTACTGCGCTTTGACACACACTTATTTTCCCTCGGTCGATTACGATCGGTTTACCGAGCGAGGAAAAACTTTTGAAGGATAGACACGTCGGATCGCCAACGATTCGAAGCGGCCATAAATCATCGGGAGAATTTAATCTGGAAACGGGTTAGCAGGTAAAACGCAAATAGGTACGTAACGAAACCCAGCTTTATCACAATTCATCGAGAAAAGTTTCCCTAAAGGTTCGCCTAGCACTTAGCGATACAGACTATCGATATCCCTAATGTTTAGTAATTGCGGTGTACCTAGATCTTAGCAGGCGATCGCGTACATATGGACGCGCATCGCTTTACAACCGATTGCACATTTCGAGTAATTCGTTAGTTCCTACTAGTTATGTACAAATATACATTGGAAGCTTAAGGTTACGCGATACGACGTATTCGTAGAACTCATAGAGTAAAAAGCTTTGATTGTAGATGTTATTGCAGGATTTCGCGGGTCACGCGAAACAAGTGTTCTCCTCGGTAACGTTTAACGTTCGCCGGTGTTTGCTGCTTTTCGGTTCGCGCGACCCATCTAACACACATACACATGCTCGATAAGCGCGTCTCGGATGCCAGTATACAGTTAGGTATCATGCTTCGTACTTGTATTGATATGTTTGAAAATTTGGACGCCGGAAACTTTATAAATGTTCGCGGATATGGAACACGCGGCGGAACCGATACAGGTGTTCTTCGTGCATCTCCCGTTTGTTTCGGCTTCGATACTCTGTCGAACGCGTCATCAGCGTACAATGTTATCTTTACGTCTTCGTCCTATCGACTTTTGTTTTCCTGTAGTTGAACGCGAACGTTCGATGCAGTTAACGCGCCAAAGACAATACGAATATCTCGATTAGAGGTAAGACAAATGGCATCGTAACGTGGAAATGATCGATAGAAAGTAAACGAGTATATAATTTCAATATACGTTTCATGGGAATTCGTCTCGAAGAAAGGGTGGAAGTAGAAGAAGTCGGAGAAAAGGCGGCGCATGAAAAGATGGATCTCTCTCTCCCTCTCGATTGGGATATCACGCGAATTGTAAATCCGAGTAGCTGGACAAATAAACCGTATATTTGGGAAATATGTCAGTTGCCTATCGTGAGAAGAGTTAAACGTTAAAAGAACTTGGAGAGTAGACATGGCACGGTATGCATCGGACACGTTCGACAGACTAACTCGATTCCTTTTGCTTCTCCGCGTGAATAAATTTTGGAGAATCGAGAAACACGATCCTCGAAAATTTTTCCATAACTTTTCGTGTTCACCGTATGTTTATAAAATTTTCATAAAATTCGTTCGCGTGGTTCGCGACGCGAGAATTTCGGAAGCTCGTTCTTTGGTTTCCGTACACGCTGGAACGACAAACGGAATGACGATAGAATGACGAAACGATACGAAGAAGACGGTGTTTCTCTCGAATAGTCGTACATAGTACAAAGACGCGGGGTTAGACTGCAACGCGCGAGTGTACGGAACATGTAACAGTTTGTCGTAGAACTGACGCTTCGTTTCTTCTGCTTTGAGCGAAAAACTGTCGCTACACCTTACGAGCTACGATAATACTGCCACGGTATATTTAATATCCAACAAGGTATATATACGTATATACATATATACGTGTAATGTGTTCTTGCTCGTCAAACACACCTTCCATCGATTCCACGTTCTGACCCGATGTTTATCGCTTTAGCGCTTTACCTGCTGCGATTCTCTTCCTCTCCTCCTAGGGTTTCGTTATTTACTGAGCTAATCATTCGAAGCGATGGCTCGCGATTTTCAACGCGTTCGACGCGTTAACCAGACCGTTGCGCGTCTAACACCGTGACGCTCGTCCAACATATTTCATCTATCATTTATTCGACTACTTATCGTTACCATAAATATTTATTTAGTAATTCAGCTTTAACATTGATTCACGTTGCCTCCGGTTTCGCATCGTCGAGAACTCGTACGATGCCGCTTGGCGGATGGATGATAGTCGAGTGTATTAACGATGATCCGCATTTCTGATAAAGAACAGAGGCAAAAAGTGCGCGATATAATCCCGTTGTTACACGTAAAAAGCTTTGATTCGATCTCTCTATGATGCACGATAACCATCTCGCGACTCGCAGTGCGACGAGTCGTGGGAAGTTATCGATTTTTTCAACTCTTACCTATAAAAGACAAAGCACAGACTACGAAAGAAATCTGCAAACACGATAAATACCTTTAGCCGGAACAAATGTTGAGCTGTTCGATTGTCCAATGTCTCGTTGTTCCTCCTTTCAAGATAAACGCGAGTTTAAATGAAGCGATTCGTCTAGAAGCTGACCAGTTTGTGGAAGGCTTTGCGAAACTCGGGATTGAACACAGTGTAAATCACGGGATTCACGAAGCTGTTCATGTAGCCTAGCCAAGATGTCACGATGAAAGCTGTGACACCCGGCTGACAGGTCGCTGTCAGCTTCGTGCATATCGCGTCCATGATGTTGCAGGTAAAGAACGGCAGCCAACAGATGAGAAAGACACCTGAAAGGAAAAATTGATTTCGCTTTCGTCGGGATGACGGAAACGAGAAACAATCGAACGGACATACCCAATACTATCGCCAACGTTTTCGTGGCTTTACGCTCTTTCTTCGCCGAACTTTTTTCCCGTTTCTTCTTGCTCGCCTTATTGGCTTTGTATATCGTGAATCGGGATCCTGAAACGGCATTTTTCTTGTCCTTCTTACACGTGGACGAACCAGACAAGACGCTTGGCGTCCGTCCAAGTTGAAGCGGAAGGAGGGAACCGGCGCTCTTGAGCCTCTTTAATTCCTGCTTGTTCGTTTCACCGCCGTTCTTCTTCGGTTGCGAGCCTTGGCTCGTCGTTGCACCCTTCGGTGGTGGCGACGAAGAAGTGGACGACGACGGAGCCGAGGTGATTCGTGGATTCGGGCTGGGACTGGAATTCGTTTCTAGCGGTTCGTGAATCACCGTGCTGCTCGCAGCACCGTCATACCCAGAATCCTTTCTGGCGTTCTGCGTTCCACCCAGCTGAGCTTGAGCCACTGCGCTGAAACGACAACTGCAATTCGAGTATCAGTAGCATTCCTACGAACAGTTTTAGCATAACCAGTCACGGCTGGCGACTCTGCACCTACGAGCATAAGTGTTTCTTGCACCACGATCATGGGGACGAACGTTCGCGCGAAGGTGAAAATGCGCGCGCGACGTGCAGGAGGAATTACCACCCCGCTACTCTACGTAATGGCGTTTTGTTCCGAACGTTCGAACGGTCGAACAATGCGCGCGATCGTGGATTAACTCGCTCCTCGCGCTACCACGCGTACGATCAACAAAGCTATTTGTGTAATTAAACATGCTAGCTCGTGGATTCAATCGCCCTCGGCGATTAGTCTCAAAGACATCGGCACACGAAGCGCGGTTCCCACGCTTGGGGATCATACAGGTCGGTCTTACGATTAGTCGGCTTATTTCAGGATTATTATCGCGCAACGAATTGTCGTGGAGCGACTATTGTGCTTTAATCTTTAGACGGGATTCGAAAATCTGGACTATAGGTATAGGTACGCGTAAATATATAGGAATCGAATCACCTACCTCTCTTCCTCTCTATTCGTTACCATCTATTCCATTGTGTCCATCCCGATTGTCCAATTTTTTTCCCTTCTCACTTACGTTTCGTTACCGCAAACGAAGGTATCGATCGAGACCACATCTTCCGCGTTTAATCAATACGGTTACCACTCCAACTTGCTGGACCAGTGGACACTCCACAAACAAACGAATCGATTTCACAGTGGACCGAGTTTATCGGTGTTTTGTTCCTATTTTTATCGAATGTGTCGGCGAGTAATTCTTTACGCCAATGAATTATCGACTCGTAGGCAATGTAAAAGATTCAAGCTTCCTTTCATCCGACTCTTACACGGAAAATACGATTTACTTGCCTTCTTATACCGCCTAACCTTCTTCTAGACGGTCGTCTATCTCGTTTAATGGAAGATAAAGTGCAATTAGTCGGTGGCTCGAGGAATTTTGAAAGGAAGACGGCACTCGTACATAAAACAGTGCCAAATAGGAGACCATGCTATCTTACTTCGAAAATCTAACCAATTAAGATGGAACTTTAGATCGACCCTCGTCTTCCCGAGTAACCGAAAAGTCATTTCCTCCGATGAACAGGAAAATAGTATTCCACCTTTGTTCGTTGTACGCCGGTGGTTTTGAATGCTAATTGATTTTAGCCTGCTTCTGCTTTATTCTTGCACCATTGTTTTTAGTCTCGTTAATTTGCCGCGGAAACTTTCATTGCCCACATTTTGGCATGGCTTCGTCGAGGAAAGTCGGTCCTCGACTATCGGTCGTCGTATTCCTTTTACTACATTCTCGGGGTATTTATGCAGCATTTTGCCTCGCGTTGTACGTTTTTGCCGCAGTTTATCGCGCGGTGAGATTCGTTAATCAGAAGTTGTGCCGGGGGAGTAGAGAAGCGAAACTGCTAAAGAACAAAGTTTCCGGAAAAGACGCGAACGTTCGTCTCGCGCGAGCGATCGAAAAGTTTATTGGATTCTTACGCTGCTTCCTCGACGACAGTGGCCAAAAAAAACTCGGTGCTCTTATCGTTGGAGATGACCACGACAGGATCAAGGGGTGTCTCGTCCTCGTCTTCGTTGCTTCCAGACGCGGTGTTCGTCGGTTCTTCCATGCCAGGAGCCACGAGAGCCGCTGCTCCCAGCGCCGTCTCCGCAAACCTTGCCACAGAATACCCACTACGTGATCTTAGTCAAAAGCCTCTAAAAAAAAGCTTCTACACTTAGCATGCTTTTAGTATTCCTCGGCGACGCGCGGCGTTAATCCGGCAAAGGGGAAAAGTTAATCTATCATGCACAAAGCGACTACGCTTGCGCTCGCGACTTCGTTCGGAACTTTGCCACGAACAAAGAACCTAGCTTTTACTTCGTTGAATGTACCCTTCGCGATTCACAGGGATCCTGGGCTGCGTTTCAGCAAAAATGAAAGTTGGAAAGTAATTCTTTTCCGACGAGGAAAAAGCTCGAACCTTTGATATTTCAACTGGCCCGCTTTCGATCGATCGGAACGGTAATACAATTATCGAAGGAGAGCAATTTAGAATTACTTTTGCCGCAGACGTTTATCCGTTCAATCTTGCGGTACGATTCGAAACGAGTTACGAGTGCCTTCTAACCTAGCGTGTATTATAGCTAACGCAACGCGCGCTTAGTTACGAGCTGACGTCGTCGAATAATTTCGTGCTTGGATACATGTATAAATTATGCAGGAAATTCGATCGTCGTGCTATACGGATAATATGGACATTCGCAACCGGACGCGTACCCCGAATAATCGGATTACGTTATCCGATTTCGATTTCGTTACCGGCTGTATCAGCGAATGGCTCGATATTCGTATTAGGTCCATCTAAACGATACTTGGCTCCAACTTCGCGATACTCGTTCTCTCGAACTTTCGTCCATAAGTACACGCTCGCCGCAACCCTTCGAAAACAATTAACGTTGCAGTCCATTCTTCGAAATTCCACCGAAACAACAACCAAACGAATTCGAAAGTTTTCGCGTTTTGCTATATTTACCGAAAAAGCCAAATTTTACGGTACGATCGAGTCGATTTCCCCGGTCTGCTAACCAAACGGAACTCGTTTCGGTGCAGAGATTAAAAATAGGAAAGTGACTTTTGCTTTTTGCCTTCCAATCAGTGATAACGAGTGAGCGTAGAGTGTATTAGCAGTGTTGGATACGATTTGTCAAAGGTGTATACGGGATACTAAGGTCAAATATATAGATTCCATATAGATATATACGAGGTAATGCGGAGAAAGGGTAGGAATTCAGGGAAAATGACGCAGGCCCGAGATTATGTCGAATCCATAGGACCCAAGGGGAAAGAGATGGTCGTGTAGCAAAATTGTGACCGTTGCTATGAACATTTAAGTCTAATTTATCGATGGTGCGTTTATACATGGTGCTACGTAACCACGGGAACCTGGAAGGGACCTATAAATAATAATTAGGCAACCGAAAGGCCATCGTTAATACCATTGGAATTACCTACCTAGTTGCGTTCGGATATATGTATACATATACACAGCACTCCTTATGCGGATTAAAACTTTTTTAATCCGATCGATTCGAAACGTTCGACTTGGAAATCCGTCGTATTTTCACCCGCTTCATCGGCGAGCAACTGTACATCCGTAATAGCCATGAAGCATAGTCGAAAGTGTGTAAGTTGAAGCGGGAGCAGAAGTTAAGTCGCGATCTTCCGCCACTCGTTCGGAAGATGGATCCCACTCCAGCATTCTCCTTCCGAAGTAAAGGAAAAACGGTGAAGTAGGTATTAAATCATCTTCACCGGCAAACAAGACTACGTGCCTTTCAGTCCGCTGGCAAAGGAAGACAACGGTTCCTTCTGTACGGTTCTCATCGATGAACAAATGTACGACACTTAGGAAGGGGCGAGTACAAAAGCCGGCAATTAAATCGAGGCGAAGTTGTTGGCTATTCAAGACAAGTACACCGACCCCGGGACAACGGAAATGAAGCCTGCGCGCGAGAAAAGCGTATTATACGGAGATGCTCTAGGCTTAACTACGCCTTAGCTTTCTCTCTTTCACTCTCTCTCTTTCTTTCCTCCGCCGTCTTTCCTCTTCGAGCGACATGTTCTCACCAGCAGCATGCCAAACTTCCTGAGAAATCGTCTCGTTGGAATGCGAGAGATATCCGCGGGAAAATTGAAAAAAATGACTCGCTCGAACAGCAGGCGACACATTCGAAATGAAGGCAGTTCGTCTTTGCTGGTCGCAAAGTTACGACATGCGGCGCGGCGCAAAGTTACCAGACGTTCCGCAACGAATTACCCTGCGACATTTATCCTGTTTAAACAACCGTCTTTGATCTTTTGGCGCGCGAGATGGTAGAAATTGAATATCGATTCGTCACGTCCGAGCCTCGCCGAGAAAAACTACACATCGAACTACCCATCGAACTGTAATCCACTCATCGTGCGAGACGTTAACAACAATCTGCCGATAGACATATTTTGCTTCTGCCGTGAACGTGTCGTTGAAAAGTGACACTGATTCGATACAATCGATCCTTCGTCTATTAATACGATAACTTCCTCTTCTCCAATAGGAATTCTTATTTACGTTCAGGACTTTTTGTTATTCGCAATCACGCGTTCGTGCAACGCGCATATACGAGACACTTTACAAATCGGCAAGGACGTGGTTGCGAGTACAAGTATGAATTATTGAACCGCAACCACGACCCTTATCTCCATGAACAACATAGCATGCAACACAGTGATACATGCAAGTGAAATACATGCCACGGAAATTCTACCGACTATCAACGAAGTATCGGCTCCGATTCTTCCTCGATTTTCTTTTCTTTTTTTTTTTTTTTTTTTTTTCACGAATTCAAACACGATAACGACATCGAACTTGATCAACTATTTATTCACAAAATTTCTTCGCTTTTGCGTTAATTAACATTGCAAACGATGAAAATGCTTTACGCTTTCGTATAACACGGTTATAATTTCTTGCTAATCTCAGAAATTTAACAAAAGAATTCACATCCATTTTCTCCCTTAACCAGCGTCGGTTCGAATGGAATTCCTAGAAAATTCTTCGTATACTCGTGAAGAATGCCAACGTTTTCGGTCGAAGCAAGAGTGTCGGCTTACCTGCGCGTATGCGCGATGTTCTCGATTATGCTGCCCGGTTTTATGTCGCCCAAGTTAGGCTTTCTATTGGCCCTCGCTTTCCTCGCCCTGTTTCGCAGTGCCTGGAAATGGTAAATTGAAATGGCCGTTTCAAGATAAATCAGGGACCCGGCAACAAACGCGTGAAATAAATCTTCCTATGGCATGCGCGACAGATAACACATGACACCTGTTATCAACTATACATATCAGAACAACGAGATTTATCGCGACAGTTTTGTGGGAAAAACGCTTCCTACGCTCATATGGAGTATCGTAACACGCGTATATTAGAAAATTTCGTTTGTTACTGGTCGATGTAGCCTGGAAGGTGCAGACACAGGGTATTTCGCTCTTTACGTCCATGCTCCGAAGCATATCGTTTCCTTTCTCGGACGTTGACTCTTCGCGTTGCACCTTTACGTCGCACATTGTGCCGCATCACGAGAAATGGTCGGACGATTCTTTTCAGTCCAATGTAAATAGCATTCTCATTCTCCTTCTCGTTTCTCGTTTCAATGGAAATGAAAATTCTCCGTGACCCGATGCGATTTTTAATTCGAACGCGCGAAATAACGGTAATTATAATATACCGAATTTCAAACCTGTTCCATGTCGCGATCATTATCGTGATATTTCACGTCATCGGAAATTAATATCGTAACGAGTAAAAGCGACCATGCAAACAAAATTGTTTGTGTATTCCAGACAGCGTAGAATAGCAAAGCAGGCGTATTTATGATTAACCGCAACGTAATCGCAAAAGCCAGCATATCTGCGGGACACTTTGTTCCATATGGCGTTAAAATTATATCTACGTAATTTGCTAAATTTTACTTGGTACGCATGACAATATTATAGGTTACGGTTTAATCGTCCAAATAAACATTTCCGCGTTTAACCTTTATGCAGACACGACGTCTGCTTACTTAACGGCAACATCGATTTTCGGTATTCTCTTTGCTCGGTTGCCTAAATCGGTTGTCGATAATTCTTACCTTGAATATATTATAGTAGAGAAACACCATGATGATGCAAGGTATATAGAAGCTGGATAGACTCGAGTAGATGATAAAGTCTGCATTGTAGAAGAGGCATTGGTCCGGTATTCGGTCGGGGGTGTTATTCAAGCCGAGAACAATCGGGCTGCCGATCGCGGCAGATATCGCCCAGACCAACAGTATCGTCAACCACACTCTTCTATTGTTCTTGTGCTTGGCGTACTTTATCGGCTGGGTCACTGCTATGTATCTGCAATTCAAATTCATTTCACGTATCGTACTGTGTCCTCTGCTTGATGGGCATTACGTTACCGCAAATCAACGTGGATTCACTAGCACCTTGCATCCGTTCGTCTGCCTTGTCCAATTTACTATTTCTATTCCCGCTGTTGTATATTTGTCAGGATAATCGTATATCACGTACTACGCTTTCTAAAAGCTCGCGCCTTTTCGCAACGACACGGGATTGGTCGCGTGGAATATATAGTCGAAAGGAAGCATCGATCAATCGAATGGTTAAATTACTGCTTGCGCTTGCAAACGATGCCTCGGTCGGATTCGAATTTTGTCACTTTGAAGAAATCGTTGGAAAATCTTTAATAGAGTGCAGCGATTTTTTCCCCTTGCGACATACGTATTTTAACGTGCAAACGCGAGTAGAGTCGGCATTAGTCATTTGGCTGCACCACTTCGGAACGAACGCGTTTCTACCTAGACTCCTTAGAGCACGTCGTCGCAAAATTATTTTCGCTCTGTACGATCGGAATTTATGCTTTAACCTTTTATCGCAATTTCAGATAGGCGACAGGAAAAACGAGAGAAACGTAATTCGTAGTGATCCGGGGCCTCGATATCTAGGAAATTCTATAAATTATTCGTAACTTTGCAAAATTGCTCGGGTTTATTCATTTCCGGTCTCGTGTCGGTAAAAAGCGAACGCTACTCCGTCACGTTGTACTCTGTTGTATTTCAATTGTACGCATGTTATAGGAATTTTTCAGGGCAATGAAAACTTCGAGCTCTCGATTGTTTCCAGTTCTCTTTCGATTTAGCGATTTATGTTATACCTCGAGATCTTGACGAAATTTGACTTACGCAAATAGTGTTTCCCCTTTTCACGTCGAACTCATTCGAGCATCACGGAAGAAACTTGGACCTCTTTTTCTCCGTATTTACTCTGTTACCCCTGTCACGTAAACCGGTTAAATCAGCTGCTCGCTTTTTCGCGACTTTCGTTGTCTTTTTTCGGCAATCGGTGCCACGTAATCTTTTTGCAACGAAGCGAAACAATAGCAACGCGAGCAAGTTTTTCCTTTACCTCGAAACAACAATCCCGTGGTACAATTTGCTACGTTCAACTCTATTTTCGTGAAAGTACGATACCCGATGTTTCGAAAATTAGTTGGATCTAAACGCACGATTTACGATTCGTTCGATTGCTTGGGCACGATGAAGCGAAGGTTTAATGCTGACAAAAGGTCGAAAATCGATCGTGGGTTTCGTAAGGGTTAGAAGAATCAGGTACAATCGTGTCTGTCCTTCTTCTCTGGAGAAAAAAAGCTCTCACCTGTCTATCGAGATTGCTACGAGATTGAAGATGGAACTGGTGCTGCACGTGACGTCCATTGCGATGTAAAAGTCGCAGACAAAGCCAGGCAGACTCCACGATCCGTTTACCTGGAAAACGAACGAACAAACTGTGAAGATTAAAGCTCACCGCGAATCGTGCCAGTCGAATTAGTTTTCATTGCTCTATGGCTGGCTATTGTTTCCATGTAAATTAGCGATCTTCGATTCACCGAGCATTTCATTGAAGCGGACAAACACGCGAGCAAATGGCTCTTGTACGTGTACCGAACTGGGTGACCGAAGTTGTAAGCCTTTCCGGTACCTAAACGCTAGGGCTAAAGCATCAAACGAACGTTCGACATTTTTACTACGTATTACCGATTCGTTTTTTATTACGATGCCTTTTTTGCAAATTTTTTACTATTTTTCGTTCAAATCGAGAGACAAGTTTTATTTCTCCTCTTTTGCATTTTATCCACCGTACTCGATCTCTTCTTCTTTATGCTCTCGCTTTGTGGTCCGTCTTTTTATTCTCGAAAGCGCAGCCATGCTCGCGGTCGACCTGCGCTCTGCAATCGAGCGCATCTACAATGAGCGAAGCCAGTTCCGTGATTTATTTGGAACTACCGTGCCTCGAGTACGAAATCGGGCATGGTCGAAACGCGCCTATCACCGCCGGCTATGCGTATACGCTTGTCTCCATTTTCTGTTAAACCGCCGGATTTCACAGCGTTGAATTTCCTCTCCGTGTTATTATTTCCCCGTAGTATACACAGGAACCGCAGGCATTCCCGTTTCGGCCGAATTATTCGATACTGGTGACCACTAATGGGCGCATACGTCAAAGAATAATTCGAAATATTTCTTTGGTTATTTTTAATTTTCCTACATGACGTTGGCGATCCAAAGACCTTCCGCTCGGTCCTCTGTCGCGAACTAAAGCTCCTCGTCGCACTTATGCATAGACATGCATGGGCCAAACGTCGAGGGCTAAAGATTTCATTTGCAGACTCGTGCACAGGGAAGTCTCGGGATAAATCGTAAGCCGCTGAATCCGCCTCGTTATCTATCACATTCTCCAGCACGAACGTGATCACTTGTAGAGGCTTTAGGAAATAGCATTAAGTTGCGTAGCTCGTAGTTCACCATCATATTGATCGAACTGCTATATTTTGCATACGTGTAACCAGAGCGTAACACGACCGTCTATCGACACTTTATGACACTGTTACATCATGGAAATATACGGGTCGCGTGTGGTACATTGTTGCTTTTCCACCCTTTTTCATTAATAATCAACGATCAATATTCGATTCGGTATCCGGTACTATCATATTTTAGTATACACTTTCTACGATACTCGTTTAAACATCCCGGGGCGTAAATTCGCTCCGATGTAAATTATTTCGAAGCGGAACATACCGTTATAACTGCCAAGAAAATATCCCAAAAACGTAAATTGAACGAGATAAAATTGTGAAAAATTTGCATGTGGGAACACTCGTATCAAATAAATACGAATAACCAAACTAGAGATACACGCAGCTTTGTTTCCCACGTACTCATTATAATTGAAATACGAGAAGTATAACATATTTCGTTAAACTTTGGTAATTACCGACGCATTTCCTTGTAGTTTGCTCGATGATTGCAGCTACGTTAAAATTTTACGAAATGTACGTATACACCATTATATACACCATCGGTCGTATATAATTAACGTGCATCGTGTTACGTTTTAACATCGGCAACTTTGTCCGTAGTTCAACACCAACCGATCGAAACCTGTCACTCGTAGGGATAAGGGGTGAAAGTTCACTCAGGATCGCATACGATACTTGCAGGATTGGTTAATCTTTGCGTATAACCCTGTTGAAAAATCAAGCAAATCTACGGACATTTCGCATTTATTATTACCGCATTCGATTAACAATCCCCCTTATTTTTATTTTGCAAACTTCTTCCTATCTGTCTATTCATTTCATTCGAGATATTATTAAATATTATAACGCTGCCATTTTAGACTCTCAAAGGAAACTCGAGCAGCAAGGCTGAAGATAAGCATGGCGAGAAAGAAAAGCATAAAAATATTAAAGTGGTGGTGATCCGTAAAGTTAACGAACGCTTGGAACATTGAGCGAGGAAAACTAGCCTCCGCGTTTTTGCTGTTCTTCTCATTAACTTAACGATCGCACGCCACACGTTTAAAAATTATGCACGGCAGTAATACACGAAAGAAGTAAGAGGAAAAGGTTTTATCCTTTCAGCTATAAAAAGGAAGTGTTCATACATAAAGTAAATATTTTTTTAGAATGTAACCCGAAAACGGCTTCTGCAGTACGCTGTTTGCACGGCTACTTGGTAATACATGGTAAAAAGTTTCGCAAATTCCATTGAATTTTCATAGAAACACAAAAGCAACTTTTTTCCTCTCTTTGTTTGCACAGCGAAAATAGTTGAATTTTTAACAATTGGATCACAGTTACATCTGCAGGAAAAATGGAAACACTCGCCGTGTCGGTTGTTTGAAATTGGAGCCTTGTTGTCACGCGTTTGCTCGAGCACATCAGCAACAAAGATTTCGAACAGAACGAGTTGATCGCGTAGATTTACGATGGCGCGTCGTTAATTACAAGACTGGTACAGTCTAAATCCCAGCATGGTCTGAATACGGGTAAGCACCGTTGTAATGCGTCTTTGTCTGAAGTTGAGCCTTGGCCAAAATGCCAATGAAGTATTTAGGACGAAGTAATTTAAGAGCGACGTGCGCGCGTCTAGCGCTAGTTACAGTCCTGTGTCTGCTTTGAACCAGCCTTGTTATCCGGTATGCGCCATGCTGTCCTATCCCTGTTATCCTTATTACTTATAACGCGAAATATGCAAAATTTGTTCCAACACGTTTTACCCATTGGATTAAAGCCCCCTTTAAGCCGCAAACTACAGATTATTATCGTGTTCCCTAATTTTCTTTGACAAATAATTACACGACCTACCGTCTTGCTAACGAAATCGCAGAGGCTAGAAATTTTCGAAATTGCCTACGTGTGATACCCGTGGCAAGCGGCGTTATTCTAAATTAGGTATAACCGGAGCACGAGTGAGTATAGATAAAGCTGTTGTTCCAGACCTAGATCTACTTTGTAGACCTCGGTTGGCGCTTTTAACCGGCGCTAATAATTCCGAAGAAAAACAAGAAGCAGCACTCGATAAGAGATAACGCATACGAGCTTTCTAAATATGAAGGAATCGCGTTTTAAATCTTCCAGCCGGTGCTTTATTTTAACCGTACCTTTGCATTCGAAGCCCTTCATACAGCTCCCCAACAGCGGGTTAAATGAGCCATAACTCTGTTGCGTGTTGCTCGGTAACGCGTCTCCCTTGTCAAGAGGGGATTCACGTCGACGCGCTTTCTAAATAGACGCGCGCCAACTTGTTGGAGGAGCTACTTTCCGCTACGCCAACTATACCATATAATTAATCGCGAATGCGTCGAATAAATAAGCACCGCGTGACCGGCTACTTAGGCTACTAATATGCACGCTGTTTGAAAAATCACGGAAAGAACGGTATAGCAGGCGATGCGCGCGTTATCGCGTGAAATTGACCGAATTGCAAAGTACTGGCCATGACGATATCTGTCGTAGTATTTCAACTACTGCTTAATCGCGACGTTACGTGCTTGTCTGAAGCAACTATACGTGTAACAAGGGCGTGGCACGTTTTAACGTTCGTTCCGCTGCTTCTTTGATATACGACACACTAGCCAAGCATTAAAACGAGCACCGTTGCACCATTGTATCTTGATTTTCGACATCAACGATGAATCCCTTTGTCGGAGTTAAACGAAATTCCTGGAGCCCGGTGATATCCTGAGCGAATGCAGGAAAGGCCAAGGTAAAGCGACAGTTCCGGTCGATGATGTGTAAGCCTCTTCGCGATACGTACATAATCACGACATTTATAGCTAGTGCATGGAGTGCTATAATTAGAAACCAAGGGAAGGCGAACCATTCAACCTTACATTATTCCAGCGACCTTAACGAGGGACGCTGGGGAAAGCTGGTAAAGACAATTATATGCTGTCAATCGTACTCGGTCGATTATTATCTTTTTGCCGTTTGCTTGCCTTTGCGACCGAGGGTCGAGGATTATGATCGAGCATCTCTCTATGGGATAATTAGGAGAATATAACGAGTAGATTTCGAACAAGTTTGTAGCAAAGGTATTCTATCAAAGGAATTATTTAAATCGCCACCAATTTCAATCGGTAACGAAAGGTTGCAGTATACAGGATATACTGGTATATGTACGTCAAACATAGCGTATTCGCGATTACCGATTGAAACTTTATTTACAATTAATTTCGGCCACGTAAACGAATTCGGAGCTTTGTTATGTCTCTTCGATATACATACATATTTATAATGATCGAATGCATTCGAAGTCTAAAACGGAATAACGGGTAACGGGTCGTTTAGTGGACAATAAAGTGGTTCGGTGTTTAGATTTCAGTCGAATATATAAATAAATTAGAATTAGTCGAACGTATATTAATCGGCAATTGATCCGGAGATTTCGAGGATTCTAATACAGGTCAATGGATAGTAAATCGGTCAACCATTAGGAAACCGAAGTTTAGTTTAAAATTCAAGTAAAAAGGGAAAAGCAAGTCGCCGTTACTGAAAGTTGCGCTTCGTGGTACTCTTGCTCTCGTATACTACACATAATGTACTCAATTGTCGTGTATAATGCAGATCTACCGATCATATATGCACTGTGCTTGACTGGTTGCAAAGGACATGAAGGACATGGTAACACACTCGACATTGTCGAGCATCGATATCAAGAGTTCAAGAGACAATGCTGTTGTTAATTTTCTGTAAAACGCATTCGCATCGTTTGACTGTACCTACGTGAAAGTATTTCCAACCAAAAGCTGGATTTCCTTTCTCGCACCTATATTTCGAAGAACAGTCAAGGCGAACGTGCGAAATAACGGAAAATGCCGTCCCATATTCCTGTTATATATTAATTTCAAGAGTCAGCCGGAATTCTCAAATTTTAACGAACCACTCTGTTTCATACGTTCACCTACGACCGTTGTAGAT